ACAGATTCTAAATCTAAGATCTCACATGAACAGCCCTGATGGTCTCCACTTCCCTTTGAAGCTTCACAAGCCAGGCCTTCATTGTCTACAACTCTTTCAGCATAACTGTTCCAAGCTCCACTGCAACTAACTCTGAGCATGCAATGGCTTTTCCAGCCCAAAGTTCCAAACACGGGACAGTCCTCCCCAAAACACCAAGGTCAGGTCTGTCACAGCAATATCCCACTCTCTGGTACCAATCTCTGTCCTAGTTTGTTTCTTCATTGCTGTGACAAAATACTCTGACCAATACCGACTTGGGGAGGAAAGGGTTTATTGTCTTACATCTCCCAGGTCGCAGTTCGTCAGGGAGCCTAAGGTAGGAACTCAGGGCAGGAACCTGGAGGCAGGAGCTGGAGCACAGGCCATGGAGGAACACTGCTTACTGGCTTGCTCCCCTGGCCCCTGCTCAGCCTGCTTTCTTATGTAACACAGGCCCACCTGCCCAGGGGTGGCACCACCCACAGTGGGCTGGGCCCTCCCACATCACTCATCAAGAAGATGCCCTTCAGACATGGACACAGGCCAGTCCAATAGAGGCAATTTCCTGATTGAGGCTCCCTCAACCCAGGTGTGTCAAGTTGACACTAAAGCTATTCAGCACACCTGGTTATACCACTCCTTGGCATATACCCAAAGGACTGATCCTATTGTAGAGACACTTGTACAACCATGTTTGTTGCTGCTTTTTTCACAATAGCTAAGAGATGGAAGCAACCTAAGCGCCCCTCAGCTGATGAGTGATTAACAAAAATGCGCTATATTTACACAATGGAGTTCTACTCAGCAGTAAAGAAAGATGAAATAATGAAATTTGCAGGTAAATGGATCTAGAAACTGTTATACTAAGTAAAGTAACACAGACTCAGAAAAACAAATGATGTATGTTCTCCCTCATATGTGGATCCTAACACCAAATCCTTTTAAACGCCAGGTCCTTTTAATGAGATGATGCTATACAGCAGTCCCTTCTGCATGAAATAACTACCATCATCACGACTTTGGCTGAGCCTGATGGCTAAACATCCTCACAATTGGGCTTGTTGACAGTTCTGCTCATTCATTGAAGGAGGGCCAAGCCACTCACCAGAGTATCCAGCCACTCTTCCCAGCCAACTGTATGTAATTTGGCCCTAATCACACATGGTCTCCTGGATTTGGGGAGGGCTGAAGTATACAATCTGGGGAAGGCTAGGAAGAGAAGGCATGATTCATCCTGGGTAAAGGCTTTCTGGTGTGCATAGCCCCAGGTTATACCACTTCAAACCCCTCAGTTATCTTGGTAAGTAAGATCAGTCAATTCATTGGTTCCCCATTAAAACTTTAATCAAACATTAGCTTGAAACTAGAAACTTAAAAAGGAATAAATATTGCTTAGCACCCCCAAGAAAAGAAGTCTCACAACAGATGGAAAATTTATTTGTTAATGCTATTATCTCTCATAATTATTTTTTTAAAAAAGGAAAATGAGAATGACCCCTCAGTTATCTCGGTAAGTAAGCTCAATAAATGTATCGGTTCCCCAGTAAAACTTTAATCAAACATTGGCTTGACACTAGAACCTTGAAAGGGAGTAAGCATCGCTTAGCATCCCCAGGAAAAGAAGTCTCACAACGGATGGAAAATTTATTTGTTAATGCTATTGTGTCTCATAATTACTTAAGGAAAAAAGAAAATGATAATGTAAAATGTGTTAAAAGGATATGGGAATGGAGATATTTTCCAAAATAGAAAAAATGAGAAAGCCTAAGCAAGTGATAGAGATCTGTATATGTTTGTTATATATAAAGGATGAGACAAAAATAATATACACATAATCTTAAAATTTCTATGGTCACAGTATAGTCAACTACTTTAAGGAACAAATATATATTTAGTCAAGGA